CCTCCTAACTGAATTTTTCCAGTGGCTCCTGGATGTCCAAACATGACTTACAGGGGCCTTAATGATGTAGCCTACTTACCTCTCTTGTCTCTCTATTAAGCTTCTTGTCTAACATCTTTCCCAACTACTGAAGCACATGTAGCTTTTCAAAATGCCCTGCTCTTTCATCTCCCCATATGCCTTTAAATATCAAAAATCTTATGCCGAGACTATTTTCCATCTTGTTCTTTGCTAACTCCTACTCATCCCCCAAATCTCAGCAGATACTTTTCAAAAAGCAATCCCTAATAACCCCCCCCTTTCAACTCAAGTGTAGTCTAGGTGAGAATCCAATATGCCATTGTAGCGTCCTATATCTGTTACGGCACTGTCATATCATAAGAACTAATTTCTATGTCTTTTGAATAGTGTCCGTGTGTGTGTGTGTGTATTTTCATGTGTGATAGTTGATTTCAGAATTCACATGCCCTACCCTGAAGGCTCCACCATAGTCTCTACTAGGGGAAGCATGTATCACATGGAAAAACTTCCCAGGTGATTTCCACCCAATTTTGCCCTGTTGAGAGGACAGCCTTTAATGGGGAGAGATATCCCTAGTGCCTAGCATAGAAACTGGCACATCATAGGAGACCATTACATGTTGGATGATGATGATGATGGGGACAGTGAATACTGGAGTGAGAAGTCTGCTCTGCCTTCACTAGATAATGAGTAGACATTCACATTTGTGAGTAGGGCTCCACATGATAGAGTAATGCATCAAGAAATGAGATCAGAGGAGAGAGAGGGATTATATAAGTCACAGTGAATCCTGGACAAAAGGTTGCAGAGATTACAAAGGATATGAGGCCATTAGTAAAACTGTGCAGAAAAACCTTCAGACAGTAGTTGGAAGCCCAGAAAGTCTTTATGAGGCCCTTGGGGAAGAAGCTAAAAGGTCACCTCTAGGCTGAAGTGTGGCATAATTGCTCAGTGTTCTGCAGCCAGACATCTGAGCACTCTGCTGCCTGGCTCTCCTGCCAGGTTGGTTCTGGATATGGGGGTCCAGATCAGAGGATCAGGGGCACGAGTCTGGGAGAACTGTTTCTAGGTCCAATTTAGTCTGCAGCAGTACTGTTCAGAGGAGGGGACTCATTGTAGCACAGATTCAACTCCTAACTTACTTCCAGACTGATTCTAATGATTGAATGAATGAATGAATGAATGAATACTGTGGGGTGTGTTGGTCTATTCACTCCATTCGGTATTTGATACCAAATTCTATGCGGGAGGAATAGACCAACACACCCCACAGCATTCATTCAAGTCAGAATTCTGGAAAAGGTGAAGCTGTCTTTCATGCTTAACTTCTTTCTGCCAGATTTGTTTTGTTTGACAACACTGTGTGTTCAGAAGATGCTTGTCCTTCACTTTCCAGTCTCCTTTTAGCCTTTGTCAGTAACCTTGTGGGTTCTCCACAGGTGGTTCCATTTGTAATCCATTTGACACAGCAAGACTATGATAATTAATGAAGCTCCCTACAGCACTGCCAGTGACCCAGAATGTAGGACAGGAGGGGCACTGAAGCAGTGGGAGCGGCAGCGGGCTGGGAGCCAGGAGTCCTGGCCATGGTCTGCAGCCAGCCGGGGACTCGGCAGCACGAGGGTGACTCTTCTTTTGTGCAAGTCTCTTTGTTGCCAGTCTCTAAATGGGAGGGCGGGAAGAAAGCGCCCTGTGGCAAATGAGGGCACAATCACTAACCCTAACAATTCTTGCCTGTGGCCACCTTTCTTTCTTCTCCACTGGAAATTGACTTAAAAAACTGTTTGGGGGCAAGTTTTCACTGGGGTAGGAAGTGGAGGAGATAGGGTTAAATCTGTACAGGTTGAAATAGACCCGGAGCATTTTCCAAGTTGAAGCCTAAGATGGAGCCTGGAGAGTGGGGAATCTGAGCTGGCAGGATTTTCACATGAGGGGCTGAGGTAGGAAAAATGCAGACCAGAAGTGGTATCTTTCCCCTTTTTCCTTTGTTTCAAATGTCCATGTAAATGGAGTAAAAAGAGAAAGCAAATAATCAGCCAGGAAGAAAACAGATGGCTTTCTATAATGGTTTTCATCCCGTTGGAGTCCGGATTGACAAGGAGGGCCTACAGAAAAGAAGTGGAAGAGTTTTCCCACATTTTACCCCAGGTCATTCCCTGCACATTTAAACCTAGACCTGTATAATAAACAAATTACCTGCATAGAGTTCCAAGAAGAACTTGGGGACGGCTTTATGGTCTATCCTGGTATATGCAGCCAGAGAGCGGAATCTGGATGATTTGGCCATTAAAATGGTGCTGTGTATACTTGTCGAATAATGTTTCCAGAGGGAATAATCCAAAAGACCTGCTCTTCTCAGGGCCTCCCTGGACACTCTGGTCCAGACTGACACCTGCCTTCTCCTCTGGTCAGCTCACAGGAACAGCAGGCTATGAGTACGTACTAACCACGTAGAGAACAGATTCATTGTCCATCACGTGCTAAGGCTTCCCACTTCTCCCTCCAATGAAGAAATCCAAATTCACCACAATACTTCTCTGCAGTTTTTTTTAATTATTAAGATCTTATTTTCCCATTTCCTTCTGAATAAGTCCTTGTATCTCCTTCCTCCCTTTTTCCTTTTCATTCTTCAGATGGATCCTGGGTTCAAGTCCCAGGTATCACTTATTTGGATGACTATTTCCTTTCATTCATATTTTCACTCACAGTATCAACTACTAATTCTTATATTTAAAAAATGTAGTCACAATTTTATTTTCCTCTTTTTATAAAAGTAATACAAAGTTACATAAAATATCTATATTGTACTTTCTATGATTGTAAAAATGACCTCAGTAAATCAAATGAAATTTCTGTCTCTCCATTAATGCACAGTTCAAAAACTATTGGATGAATTATCACTACATGTAAAGGGAATGTTTAGGATGGTTTGATTTAACATATAGCTTACATGGCATCCATGAAATTCAGACTGGAGACCTTGGACAGCCACTCTCCTGGGCCCATGTGCTACTGATAAGGGAGAATTGTCAAAACTACTAAGACACTGAGGGCTCCTTTAGTCATGAGCTCCAAATCTAATGGCCCAGAGGCCAGTGTTCTGAACTTCAGGCTCAAGATTAACCTCACCTGCACCCTGCACATGGTCTGTTGCAGAGTGAGTAGGAGCAAGGATTCTTCTATTTGCTGTTGATCTAAGGCTTTCCTAAGTGGGCCAGTAAATAATAATCACAGTAACAATGACACTAATAAAACATGTGTCAATTTGTTTTCTGTAAGGTTACCAGGAGGCATACGGTGCAGTGTTTCATTTAATCCTCACAACAATCTTTTGAAATAGGTGATACTATTATCAATTGTCCCCCTTTTCAGGGATGTGGACATCGAAATTTCCAGAAGTTCAACAATTTCTTCCAGGGCACAAAGCTGGCAAGTGGCAGATCTGGCCTTTGAACCGCAGGCTCGCCTTAATCCAAAGCCCCTGGTCTTAAACACCATGCTCACTTGTAGCAGCAATGCTCCACGTTGTAGTCAGAGCAATCTCTCCTCACTACAACACATTGTCCACGTTCTGAAAACACCACATGACACTCCACTCACTGCTCAAGCCAGCTGGTCTTGGGGACCAGGCCCTTTGGGGGTGTTCTGAGTTACCTGATGTGTTGCAGTCCCTGCCTCTGACCCCTGCCGGAGTTCACACACATCCCTCAGGCCGCACTGCTTCTCAGTCTGTCAGGCATTGTCACCTCCACCTCTCCACCTCCAGTTAGCTGCTTCTAGAGCCAAGAGGCATTCCAGATCTGCTGCCAGATTCTCCTCCTCCTCCTCCTCACTCGGAGGCAAGCAGCACCCTTCCCTCCTGCCTGGCTCTGCTCCGTGGAAATGAGGAGTTTCTTGCCTCTGAAAACTCTTTCCCCACCTCTGAAGCTGATACTTCACTATGGCTGCTCCAGCCACATATGCTAAGTGCTTTTTAATTTAGTCCTAGGTACATATTGTCAGTCTGTGGTGCTGCAAAGGGGGCTGTAGATTGGACAAACATTGTTTGTGCCAGGTGTTATTCTACTGCGTGCCAGGCCCTAGATACTGGGAACGATAGTTAATGAAAACATACAGAAACCTTTCCCTCATCCCCTCTCCCTCGTCTTCCATTTCTGTGTTAGGGTGGATTCTCCTGTAGGATCACTCCCCTGTGAACTCAGGCAGGGGTCAGAGGCAGGGACTGTAACATATCAGGTAACTCAGAGCACCTCCAAAGGGCCTGGTCCCCAAGACCAGCTGGCTTGAGCAGTGAGTGGAGTGTCTTGTGGTGTTTTCAGAACGTGGACAATGTGTTGTAGTGAGGAGAGAGGAGAGATTGCTCTGACTACAACGTGGAGATGGACTGCCTGAGTTCACGTCCCAGTTTTTCTACCTACCCAGTACTGCACACATACCTATGGTCTGTGTGCCCTTGGCTAAGTTAGTCACCCTCTCTGTGCCTCAGTTTCCTATAAACTGGAAGACACTAGTCACATTTCTCTAGAAGTTGTCATTAGAATAAGTAAGTACAGTTAATACATGTAAGGTATTTAGGATGGTGGCACACCATCTCAATATATGTTAATTATTGCTATTTGGGTTCATTAAACATGTAGTGGGCAGGGACCTTCCTTTGGAAGCGTTCTTCAGCCTCCAGTACTCCAGGCTGGACACGTCTTGAAGGAAGGAGCTGTGTGGCCTAGTGTTCAGTCCCTTTGTGCCATGCCTGGTACAGCACATTCCCCAGTATGTGACACAGTCTGCCTTGACGTCAGAGTATATCTTGGCCACCTTCCCCCCATGTCCCCATCCCCCAGGTTCACCTGAGAAACTTCAGTTTTATGTATGCTAAACGCCTTCTGTTGTTTGTACAAAATGCTTTAATTTGTCAAGAAACAAGTCCCAAGGTTATCCCATTCAAAACATCCTCTGCCTCAAAGAGAAATGACAAGACTCACCTTGATTTTTCAATGGTAAAGGCATAGTTTCCCTGAGTTTGCTTAGAAGGTTTTTCATTTCTCGCATGTCTCTGTAAAATTGATAAAAAGAATAATCAACTCTAAATTTTCAAAATGAAAGACAGTCTGTTCTGGAGACAATTGAAGGATGAGAGTCTGTGCCTAATTGTACCAGCTCAAGTTTCCAGTAGGCAAATATTGAATTTATTTTGCTTTTATAAGAAGAAAATCTGGGGTGGTTGGCCCTGAGAAATGCTCTGCCAAACATTTCCACAGGGCATTCTCCTGCGGGAGCCCTCATCTCTCCTGCAGTGAGACCTGGCTGAGATCAGAAGAGCTTTTGGTAATGAGGACAGTACTGCAGATTTACAAGGAGAGGCCAAAGACACACAATTGGAACAGCAGGGCTCCCCTGGGTAAAGCTGGGGTTGGGTGGTGGGGCTGCCAGGGCTTTGTGGTCAGATGGCGGTGGTGGCTATGGTGGCTGTGTAGGTTCACATAGCAATCCTCAGTGACCGGAATTGAGCATAACTCAGGTGTTAAGCATTCACAAGAGCTGACACTTACCAAATTGATTTAGAGTAATAGTAGAGTAACAAGTGAGAGGGAAAACCACCTGAGGACAGCTGGGCTTTCCTCCAACCACTGGCCTATCCTTCTGAGCCTCCTGGCTGGCCAGTCCACAGCATGCAATGCCTCCACACACATGCAATAACCTTATCTCAAAGTGCATCTGATCATAAAACTCCAGAAGTGGAGAACAGGAAGCCATCTGAGAGATGGCATCTAGCGTAGGGTAAGGGAAAAGCTGACCTTTCAAATGCCCAGGACAGTGGTTCCCACATAAATCCAGGTGGTTGTGCACTAGAAACAGTGCTCTTGAAACCCCAGGACTAGTGATAGATTTCATTTAAAACAGAAAACAATATAATTTGGTGCAAAAATCAGATACATCTTTCAATTAACCTAGATTAGCAGGCACCATGGGTTTGAAAACGGCCATACTGAAGTTGAAAATTTTCTAACTACTAACTTATTTTTGTGTTGGCATTTGAGAAGAGAGATTCTCCATTTAATTTTAGGAAAGAACTCCAAAGAGCCAAACCAAACCACCATGGTTCTGTTGAGCACTATTGGAGGATTACTGTCTTAGGGGAGGCCAGAAACCCATGGGGATTTTTTCCCAGCTACTGACCAGTAAGTGAAAAGAAACTCAAGTCTTAAGAATACCTGATTGGAAAAGGAAGGGAAGGAAGCCTTGCAGTCTTCCGTAGAAATATACCTGTAAAAATATCCTGAGCACTTTCCCCCAGGTGTGAGGGTGTGTCTGTGGGCACTACAAGCTGGTAAGAGTGGGGAGCAGGAGAAAGGAGGCAGGGCCCCACTCCAGAAGTGCAAGGTTGCAGTCTGTTTTCACATAAGTCTCAAGGGCAGAGGGGATGGGTAGGAAAGGGCTAGGAATGCAACATGTGGGATTGAGGCAAGGGCTCCCTTGGTAAAAAGCACCAGTTCTCAACTTTGGCTGCTGCCCAGGAGGATCACCCTATCCCCAGGTCCCACCCCAAGAGAGTCTGATTCAGATGGCTTCAGGTGTGGTTCAGACATCCATGTTTTTTAGAAAGCCCTCTTGGAGATTTACCTGTGCAACCCAGTTTGAGATCATGGTCTCTTAGGTCAGAGAGGCAGGGAGAACTGAGGCAGCTACGCCCTGGACCAGGCCTACTGTGCCTGCTGCCCTCAGTGTTTCCCATCTCCTCTGACCACAGTCCGTGCTTCAGGCTGAACTATCCTGTTCTTACTGCTCTCTATAGCTTGCTTTCTTATAAGCTTACAAGGCCCAGATAGAGCTGCTGAGCAAGGTGTCTGAAAAGGGAAATGGCTTTGCTGATGGTTTATGCCCTGATCATGGCACTTCAGCAGATAATTTTTTTTCCTGGGAGCAGAGCAAAGAATTTCCATTTTATAAATTAAGATAAATCACTCCCTCATCATTTGTCTTTAGTTCTAACAAACTGTGCCAAACAGCTTTATTGTTTGAATTGTTGGATTTCCAAGCTTATACAAAATCCAAGTTTTATTAATAGCACATAATTACCACATGCTCCAATTTTCTATAAACATAGAAATTTGGTAATTAGCTTTAGAATTATATTACAATCTGAAAGTAGAACTACAATGGCTAGAAATGCCATTGTGTGTTATATTTCTAAAAATAAAAAAATAAAATGTTCATTATCTTGTCAATGACTCAACCTCACACACACAGAATACTCAGTGGAATTGCCCGGTAGTCATTCAGACACTTTGTGCCAACTCTGGGGACATTAGTAGCAAAGGGCACAGATAAGTGTGAAGGCCAGTAAACAAGGGCCTCGTCTTTCTGCCTGACAGAATGCCGTGTATATGGGATGTGTCATTTATTATAATATTATTACTCCCTTTTCCCAAATAAAATAGAATCCTTATAAAATCTCTTTCTTTTTCCCAGGAAACTCCCTCTGCAGGAAAGGAGCTATTGAAATTGTTAAGACATTGCATTAACTTGCTTTGACCACTAAGGGGACTCTGTGGAAAGCCCTGTGTGAGCCGCACAGAAAGCTCAGCCCCTGAAGGCCATTCCAAGCCTGAAATCTGAGAATTCCACCACAGGCATCTTTGTGTGGCTTTAGCTTCTTCTCGCTTAAACAAATGGAAACCTTGGGAACCAGCCTGATGAGTGAATCAGGATGATAAGTAATCCAACTTTCTTCCACTGTCCATGGAGACCTACTGTGTTGGAGAGGGATGCGCAGAGGCCGGGGAGCCTGCCCCTGCCGCTGCCCTGTAGGATCTGGACTGCTGACCCTCTTGCCTCAGTTTTCTTCCCTGAGGCGTTCTTCAAGGTCCCTGCCAGAGCTGTGCATCTCTGGCAGAGCAAAGGGAGCTCTGTTTCTGAACCTGAAATAGAAAACCTCGACTTTCTGTGGCCCGGGGAGCACTACCTGGAGGCGGGCTGGCAGTCTATTCAGGGTAACTTCCCACTTACCTTTCAGTGTTCTCTATGTCTGTGGAAACCTGCCAGGAATGTTGCTGATTATCTACGGGGGAAGACGAGGAGTCTTCTAGGGCAGGTGTTTCGGCATTCTCCTCAATTTTGCAATCCAAACTCTTGGTGCCCCCACCAGGTTCCTTTCCTAAGGGAGAGGGGATGTTGTTAAAGAGAAGGGGAAAAAGAAATCATAAATGCAAGTTTTAGACCCAGGATGTCAGCGTCACTAGGAAGGCTGGCTATGCTTTGAGTCAAATGCTCCAGGAACCCGAATAGCTTTCTGAACAATAAGAAAATTATATAAATAAAGTATACCATATATAGGTATATATTCATGTAGATGTGTGTGTGTGTGTGTGTGTAGCATGTTTTCTTCACAACCCTCTGGGAGAGATAGCTTGAGGCCAGTGCTACCTAAGGATCAAAATAAAATTAAAGCCCCTGTCTCTGATGCTTTGTAACCTATTCTTGGTGAGCTAGATCAAGTTAGCTTGGGATTTAGCCAGTGAAATCCTGCTGTTGTTTGGTCTTTGGATGCGAACAGGTGAGAAGGGCCAGGAGCAGGTGACACCCAGCAGGCAGCATGGGAGCTCCTGCTGTTCTCTCTGATCCTAGACCCTGGCTCTCGCAGCTGCAGCACTGAGCGTGCAGCTGCCTTCTGATTCTTGGCTCTCACGCCTCCTTTAGCGCATCCTCCTGTGAAAAGAGAGTATGACCTTACGATCCAGACTTCCTTTGCCGAGACTATAAAGTGCCATCAACTCAAGTGTGGTGTGAAGGCCTTATACCGGGCAGCCATCCACGACAATGTCCTGCCAACCCACTGAGCCTCGTATTTACCATGACTGATTTCAAGTGAATAAATAAGTATCTTCTGGAAAGAAATCTCTAAATAGTTTCAGGCATAAATTTAAATTTAAATGAAATTAATTGGGAGGTTTTGGTCCATGACCTAGGTTTATTCTGTCAATGTCTTTTATTCTGTGCTGAAAATCTGTGCACACTAGTATAACAGGAATGGCCAGCGAGGCCTGAGAACTGGGTGTGGGGCTTTGTTATATGTTCATTCACTTTCTCATTCATTCGCTCCCTTACAAATCTTTCTTGAATGCCAGCTAAATGCCAAGCACTGGGCTTGATGATAGAGACAGAGAGATAAAAGAAAGACACAAACTCTTGTCTCATGTAGCTTAAAGTACTGGAGACAGACAATAAAGAAAAATTACACAAATAATTACAAAGCTGTGGCCTAGCATTAGGTAGTCTGGGAAAAAGATAACTATATTGTGTCTTTTACCCTTTTATCTAATTTCATGTTTTTCATGTAGATATAGCTGTAGGCTAGTTGTTATAAAATTGTTATAGCCCATATTGTTATTGAATATTCATGAGATAGCGGCCACACCACTTACCTCTTTAGCATAGTTTCTCTAATCCCGGTGTGATCGTTTTGAATTAATAAGAAAACAAACAAACAATGAAATGTACAAACTTGTGAAGAAGATGGCTGTTCATGGTAAAAATCTAACAAAAATTGTTGTGCTCGGCTTCATGATCTGCAGGGAACTAGCAAACTTCTCTGCCCTACCGTTTCTAACCTAGACGGTAGTAACTAACACAAAAAGAAAGCAAAAAAATGAGGTGGTCATTGTACACCTTTTATTCACCTAGAGTAGAAACGAATCTCACTACATATTCAGCCAAAGCACAAACACAAGTTTATTGATGAGAAATTTTGATCCTTCTCTGTGTTCTTTATGCACATTGATCCGGGGTGATGGAACTTGCCCCGAGGAATTGCTTTTTCAATTTTATGGCATGCTGTTGGGTGCAAATTAATTAAGCACATAATTTAGCACATTACTAGTTCACAGTTGGAGGGCACTGACCTCTTAAAAGCATTTGCATTTAGCCTTGGGGACAGTGTAGCAAAAGTAGTCCATGTGCCACCCACCTCTGGACAGGGTCAGCCTTAGGGTGTAGGTCTGAGATCTGAGAGGGGGACAAAAGGGGCATTCCCAAAAAATAGTCCTCTGATTTCTAAAACTGTGAAGGATAGGGCCACCCAAAAGCATAGGTGGCTCCTGTTACATTCCCCTGGGGTTGGAAATGCCTTGGTAGATGGAGTGTGTTTGGGCAGCAAAGAAGAGAGGAGGAAGATTCACACACGGACTGAATTTTCCAGTTTATGGGCTTTGTCTGGCTTTAGGGCACACTGTCCCCTATCCTGTGGTCAGGACTACAGAGCCTGAGGCTGTTCCTTTTTAGAGTCCTTTCTGTATCTCCCCCACAATACACCTTTTCCATGCAAAGGCATAAATAGAATCCAGTGGACAACACCTTTGGTTACACTTAGTGCCTGTAATTATCCTACTACTTATATAAGATCCATAGCATTCAAAGTAAAATCTCTTTTCAAAGATATTCCTGAAACACCCCTATGGGCTTGTAATGGCAGTTAATAGCCTCCTTTTCATTATCATCGGAGACTTCTAGATCTAACTCTGCTAATGTGGCTGCACCAGAATGAATATCCAGAATGTTAGGCCTCAGTTTAGGGATTTCTGTCAATGCACAAATTCTCTGCAAAAATTTGCTTTTTTTCCTTTTCACTGTCCTAGGCATTTTATTGTTCATAATTTATTATTATTAATAATTTATATGGTCATAATTTATTATATTTTTAACACGAGGTTACAAATTGATTAGATTACGTGGTTTGCATTTGTTAGGTGAAGTCCTTGTTGTAGTTGTGCCCCTCACCCAGGAGGTGTGCCATGCACCCCTGTATTGTACCTATTAGGTGAGAGCACATGGATCCTTCTCCCACTTCTTCCCTTCCTGCAATTTGAATTTAATTGAGTTTTTCTCCTGTGTGGGCACGTATATTTGTTCATCTACTGGTTTCATGTTAGTTTTGAGGACACTGGACACTTGCTTTTCCATTTTTGTGATACTTTACTAAGAAGAATGTTCTCCAGTTCCATCCAGGTTAATACCAAAGATGTAAAGTCTACCTCTTTTTATGGCTGAATAGTAGTCCATGGTTACATATACCATAGTTTATAAATTCATTCATGAGGCTCGGCGCCTATAGCTCAACCAGCTAAGGCGCCAGCCACGTACACCTAAGGTGGCGGGTTCGAGTCCCCAGCCCGGACCCGCCCAAAACAACAATGATGGCTGCAACCAAAAAATGGCCGGGCGTTGTGGTGGGCGCCTGTGGTCCCAGCTACTTGGGAGGCGGACGCAGGAGACTCGCTTGAGCCCAGGAGTTGGAGGTTGCTGTGAGCTGTAATGCCATGGCACTCTACCCAGGGGGACAGCTTGAGGCTCTGTCTCAAAAAAAAAAAAATAAATTCATTCATGGGTTAATTGGCGCTTGGGTTGATTCCTTATCTTGGCAATTGTAAATGGAGCTGCAATAAACAATCTAGTGCAAATGTCCGTATGATAAAATGATTTTTTTCCTCCAGAGTAGATACCTAGTAATGGGATTGCAGGATCAAAAGAAGGTCTATTTTGAGTTCTTTGGGGGGATTCTCCACACTTCTTTCCAAGAAGGCTGTATTAGTTTGCAATCACACCAACAATATAAATGTTCCCTTCTCTCCACATCTATACCAGCATCTGCAGCTTTGAAACTTTGTGATGTGGGCCATTCTTACTGGTGTTAGGTGATATCTTAAGGTGGTTTTGATTTGCATTTTTCTGATAATTAGGGACATGTGTTTGCTGGCTGTTCATCTTTCTTCTTTGGGGAAGGCTCTGTTCCTGTCTCTTGCCCAGTGATAGATGGGATTGTTTGCTCTTTTTTTGTTGATTAATTTGAGTTCTCTGTAGATTCTAGTTACCAACCTTTTGTCAGATTTGTAACATGAAAATATCTTTTCTCATTCTGAAGGGTGTCTGTTTGCTTTAATTGTTGTGTCCTTAGCTGTGCAGAAACTCTAGCTTAATTAAATCCCAATCTGCAAAAATTTGACGTTGTCTATTCTCTGGTTGAAATGTTTTAAAATACAGAAAAGATCAATATGAATTTTAGGGCAAATTTCAAGGGTTTTCAATTTCAGAACATATATGGTGCCAAGTTTACTGCGCAAGTGAATCCCATTTGCTTTCGTTTTCTGCAGCATTGATTTTATGCTAGGCTTCCCTTCCCTTCATGTTTATCGCTTTCACAGAACTGTTCATTATCAGAAATGATCTTGCTCATATATTTGCTTGTGAGTTTACTATTTGTACCACCCTGATCTCTCATCTCAAAACTATGTATGTAAACCCTGTAAGGTCAGGAACTTCATCTGTTTTCTTCAGTTCTAAAAACCTAGCACCAAGGACTGATCCTTACATACAGTAAGACCTCCATACATACAGAGTATTAATAAAAAGGAGATCATACTATGTATGTTTTTATACAACTTGCTGTGCTACTTTAGCATGGCTTGGAGATATTTTCATGTTAGTGCATTTTGATTTATGGAGTGCTTTCTACACATAATGGATGGATAGTATTCCATAGTAAGGAATTCAGAATGTAATTGTTCTCTTTCTTTTCAATATGCCAATATTTGCATAAGGCAGATCATTTGAGACAGAACACTGGGACAAAGTATATGTGTGTGTGTGTGTGTGTGTGTGTGTGTGTATACCACATTTTATATTTTAATCTATGTTGCCAAGTTAGTCTCTGAAAAGCTATGCTAATTTACACTCTACTTCCTGGAATAGTAAACTAGAGGACCCATTTCCCCATCCATTTGCCAACACTTCATATTATTAACATTTAATTTTTGCCAATCTAATGGGGGCAAGAAGAATCTCACTGCAGGCTTATTTTTCATTTTCTTTATTGCTACTGAGATAAACTTGTTTTTATATATTTCTTCTTTACATTTCCTATTCACATTATTTCCTCATTTAAACAATGAGTTATCTTTCTTTTTCATTTGAAGGGGTTCTTTCTATATAATGGATACAGATCATTTGTCTGTTATTCCTACTCCTTATATCTCTTTGACTATTGTATGTGTTTTAATTTTGTTTATAATGATTTTGTCACAAGTTGAAGTTTATATAGTCAAAGCTGTTCATATTTTCCTGTATGTCTCTTGGCTTTATGTCTTGCCTATGTTTTCTTGTAAT